TCCAAAGACATTCGGTCCAGAATTCGTAACCAATTTACTTGAAAATGATCCTAGGACATTTGATGAAGCAATGTCCTCTCCCGAAGCTCCTTTTTGGAAAGAAGCTGTACACAATGAAATTGAATCCATCATGAGTAACCATACTTGGGAATTGGTTGAACTCCTTCCGGGAAACAAAGCTTTAGGCTGTAAATGGATATTCAAAAAGAAATTGAAGACGGATGGATCAATTGATAAATACAAGGCTAGATTAGTAGCCAAAGGGTATAGACAAAAAGAAGGACTAGATTTCTTTGATACCTATTCACCCGTTACAAGAATTACGTCTATACGTGTCTTGATTGCAATCGCAGCATTGCATAATCTTGATATACATCAAATTGATGTCAAAATCGCGTTTCTAAATGGTGAATTAGAAGAAGAAATCTACATGGAACAACCTGAAGGGTTTGTTGCACCAGGAAATGAAAAGAAGGTGTGTAGACTTGTAAAATCATTGTATGGATTGAAACAAGCACCGAAGCAATGGCATGAAAAATTTGATAAAACTGTGTTGTCAAATGGCTTCAAAATCAATGAATGTGATAAATGTGTCTACATTAAAAACGCACCTAATGAATATGTAATCATATGCCTATATGTTGACGATATGTTAATTATGGGAAATAACTCCAAAGTCATTTCCTCAACTAAGAAAATGTTAACAAAACATTTTGACATGAAGGATATGGGAGTGGCGGATGTAATATTAGGGATTAAAATCTCTAAGACATCCGATGGTTTGTCATTGTCTCAATCACATTATGTTGAGACTATACTTAAGAAATTTAAGGCGTATGACGATAAATCGGTTAAGTCACCAGTTGACTTAGGTATTTACTTAGCTAAGAATACTGGTGAGCCCGTATCTCAATTGGAATATTCGCGTGTCATTGGTAGTTTAATGTATATTACCAACTGCACAAGACCGAATATAGCATACATAGTCAACAAGTTGAGTAGATTCACTAATAATCCAAGTGTTGTACATTGGAAGGCATTAAACCGAGTTCTTAGATATTTAAGACACATGGTTGAATATGGATTACACTACTCAAAATATCCTGCGGTATTAGAAGGATATACTGATGCAAATTGGATATCTGACACTAAGGATTCAAAATCCACGAGTGATTATGTATTTACCATTGGAGGTGGAGCCGTGTCCTGGAAATCGTCTAAGCAAACATGTATTGCTCGATCCACGATGGAATCTGAGTTTATAGCGTTAGACAAAGCCGGTGAAAAAGCAGAATGGCTTCGTAATTTTCTTGAAGAAATTCCATGTTGGGAAAAATCGGTTTCTGCAATTAATATACATTGCGATAACCAGTCGGCAATAGTAAGGGCACAAAACAGTATGTATAATGGTAAGTCTCGACATATCCGTCGGAGACATAATACCATTAAACAGTTAATATCGAATGGTATAATCTCTATTAACTATGTGAAGTCAAAAGAAAATTTGGCTGATCCTTTGACGAAAGGACTTGCAAGAGATCAAGTATACCATCTTTCGAGGGGAATGGGCCTAAAGCCTATTGAATAGAATTACTATGACGGAAACCCAACCTTGTAGATTGGAGATCCCAAGATCTTGGTTCAATGGGACAACTAAGTCATAAATGATTCGGAATAAAGCACTTATTCCCATTTCTAAAATTTAAAGTGCTATGTAAAATGTGTATAAGGATAAGCATACATATATACTTTTAATGATTCATAACCTTGAGATAGAAAGGTATGAGATCACCTATATAAGTGTGAAATGGGGCCGTTTCTACGAAAATTCGAGGCTTAATTCTCTTAGAGCACTTATGAAACCAAGAGTTGTCCAGGGCCAAAATGGACTCAACCATGAGAACCGAATAGGTTAGATAAGTCATGGTGTTGGTACAGTTGTTTGGTTTTACACGAACGGTTGGATGGTTCAAGACATCGCGTTCACCAACTAGCCTAGTAAATCCGATTATATTCAACTAAAGAAGGTTCAAGGCCACAAGCTACCTATCTTGATGCTATGACTTGTCGTGTGTACTCCATTTGTTAGAGTCTGCATTTCATTTTCATTGCATTCGCATTGTGTTGCGCATATCGAGAAATTTCCATT